GGCTCCTCCAAGGGCAGGGAGGAAGGCAACCCTCCTCCTCGCAGCGATGGGGGCTGTTGGCATTTTAAATGACTTGAAGCGCACCCCTACCACACGGTGTGGGACTGGAAAGTTTGTCCTCGGGTCTCCCAACAACAACAACAACAAAAAATTAAAAAAAAAAAAATAGATGTATTTGCTTTCGTTCAAATCCAGCAGAAAGGCAGGGTGATGATATGTGTTGGTTTGTTTTGAATAACACGAAGGTTTCTGGTCTCATCTGGCATGTCTGTTTTTCCATCTATTATTATCCTATCCATCTCCCGGCGCATCTCCAGCCTCTTCCTGGGTAATCTCTCCCTCGGTGTCTCCATGCACGCTCCCGTCTCCAGCTGCGAGCGTGTCCTGCTCTGCTCTGCTCTGCCCGCCTGTCAGGCGCAGGTCTCTGGGTCTGTAGGTTGGGCTTTGCTTTTGCTTTTTTTCCTACGTTTGGTGGATCCACGCTCACGGCTCTAGTAAGAAGTCGCTTACAACCAGGTGACTGAGGGGGAGTAAAAATGAGGAAGTGAAGCTCGTAGGGGATTTCTCTTCGTTCGGAGGCGATGCTTGGCTGTCTCCCGACATCAGGCAGCCTCTCCAGGGTGCCTCCGAGTGACCGGGCAGGATGAGGGTCTCTCTGGAAGGATGCTTTGCTTTTATTTTAATTTTGCTGTTGTCAGTCTTCCATTCTTCCCATTATTTATCAAACCACGTTAGAGAGTAGGTTTCTTCATCACTCTCTTTTTTGGAGGGAGATAAAAGGCACTGGCATCCCTATGCCCACTCCCAAGATTAATTTAAACACTTCTTGTTTGCTGGCAAGAGCAGTTTCCAATGTGCAATGCTTTTATTCTTTTGGGGTGCCTGTTTCTAGGCCGGTACAGGTACTGGGTGCGTTTGGCTGGACGTGTTTGCTGTTTGCGGGGAAGCGCGGGTGCGTAGCGTTGTGTTGGTAGAGTTGGAACATGTTAGAAAAGTCTCGGAGAGGGCACCGCGTGTGTGTTTGGAAAACACAACTGTCTATTTAGGTCTTGTAAGAGTCCTTCAGGATATAATAATTCATAAGGAGTGTAGCCGTGTGTAGTGGATGTTCTTCAACCCTGTTTTTAAAGCCTGCTCGTAAAGCTTGCAGTAGTGTGGTGTTTTGGTAGGCTTTTATTTCTTAAATAGAAACAAACCGCTGTAGGGGATGATCTGGGTCAGCTAGTCTCATTCCATGCAATCACACACTGGGTTTGGTATCTCTTTGTACTGCTTGAATATCCGCGAAACCAACGTTACCTTTTGAAATGATTGTACAGTTAAATAAAGAACCCGGTATTTTTTTTAAGCTGATGTTATAGCTACACATTAGGACCGATTCTTAAAAATACCAGTATCATTTCTGTGACGATGGTTAGAAATCTTATCTTTCCAGTAAAGAATTCAAAATGTTAACAAAAACATGGAAATGAAGACTCTAATAAGATAGTTACGAACTATTTACAACTCGCATTTTCAGCTCTGCCTTCCTCTGCCTCATATGTTCTGCATTTTTCCTTGTTTTCTTCCTTGTTTTCGTCCTCTGAAGCAGCGGGCACAGAAGCTCGCACTGGCTCCAGCTGAGTGCTTGCTTTTGGCCCTAAGCCCACTGCTAAAGATGGACCCAAGGCAGCTCCTCTGTCACTGCTTTCGTGTAGTTTCTATTTTTTTTATGTCTATGCCTTGGCTCATCTCGCAGTCAGCTCTTTCGGTTTAACTCTACAGTTGCATTTGTTTTCCTGGCTGATGTGGAATAATAGGTATTAGAGAGATGGAGAGAACCTATTGCGGGTCGTGCCTGGTCCATCCCCTGGGAACATCACAGGATTGCTTCCAGCAGGATATTTTCAGATGCTTTGTCCAACCTAGTTTCAAATGTCTCAAGTGACTGGGATTCCATTCCAACCGCCAGCTCGCATTTGAAGGTGGAATAAGGAAGATATAATTTGTTCTTTCCTAGGAGACTCCTGTACCCTCATCTGAGATGCACAGCCGTACTTCTTACCACTGTCTTTTCCAGCCTCTGTTGCACTAAACCCACCTGTGTGGTGGCTGAGAGCCCTTTCAGGGTCGGAAACGCTTCCTTGGGACTCACAGAGACCATCTGTGGACGGTTAGAGGAAGAAGGTCACCGAGGAAGGTGAACTGTCTTCCAGCAACATTACCCCATCAGAGAAGGGAGCTAATTTGGAGGAAGTGGGAGCTGCAGCTTGCAGAGGGAGACCCCCGAGAGCATCAGTAGTGATGTAGAAAGCAAAAGGGACGCACGGTATAGATGGATAAGAACACCAGTTTTGTTGGGTTATCAGCTGGAGACTTGTGCTAACACAGAACCCCAGGAGTGGTCCTAAAAAGCCTGAATTCAGGGATCTTGGAAGGATGCTGCGAAAGGCTGATGCTGGATGTGACTTACGGACTTGAGGCTGTGTAGGATAAATGGGGGTTTCGCTTGGTGTCTGTCTGAATTCGCGCCGAGATGATTTCCTTCATGATGCTGAGATTTTATCTCAGTCCTAATTATGGTTAAGGTGCTTCGTAGCCATCCCCTTCATAATTTTATATTTAGATCACTAGTGACACTTGAAAAGTTAAGGGGTGAGAAATTGCTCCATTCGTGTTTGCTAGACCTGAATTAGACACAGTTTCTGAGGCACTCCATTCCCACTTGGACCAGATTTTCACAGGAATTTTTCGTAGTGGGCATGAGCTTATTTGAAAACTTGAATAAATGTGTCGCACTGGACCTCTTGCTGGCTGTCTGCTGTTGCTGGATGTGGAAACTAGAAGGGGGAATTAAATGTGTCATAGATGTAATTTTTGTCTTTGTCACCGATTGCTGATCAATAACAGCTCTGGCAAACTTCTGTATACACCTGAGAAATTTGACAGTCGATTCAAGGATGGTCTAATGAACTCTCTTTGCTTTTCTTCCAGCTTGCTATGGAATTGTCCAGGTTCCTACTGGCCCCTGGTTCTGTCGGAAATGTGAATCTCAAGAGAGAGCCGCCAGGGTGGTGAGTGCGAGTCACACTTGTACTTAATAGCTTCGTTTGATGCCCTTCATGTCTCTGCTGGAAGCAGCGTGGTCCCCTGGCAAAAGTGATAGAGGCGACAGAGGCTGGCGTTTCAGCGCTATTGCGATTGTAATCCCAGCTCTGCCTGTAACCTGCTTGTTTATACACTAGGAATAATTGTATCAAACACTTCTATACCATGCCATTAGCCATTCTCATGCTAAGATGAGAGGTGCTTTTAAGCAAGTTATCAGTGACAAAGTTTTGGAGTCTAGAGACCTCAGTCTTCTAAAAAATAATGCTGTTCTTCTAAAAGGTGGTTTCCCTGCTGCTTTTTCTCTACAGCTCCTCAGGAAGTTTTGGAGTGGAGGAAAGTTGGCATCACCTGAGATGCTGTTATACTGTCAAAGTTACCTTATTGACTGACAGGATGGGTTGGCATTCGTGTCTCACAGCAGCGGTCTCCTGCATAAAGTCTTCCAAATTTGTAAAACAGGAGAGAAAATGACAGGAAGCTGGATCAGGGTTTAGTTTCTGTCCGAGTAGCAACTTAGCAGTATAGAACACTTTACAAATGTTCTTAATTAATTCTGGCATTTCCCGGTGAGGCAGGAAAGTGGAAACAATCAGGCTAGGGCTGCCTCTTAGGTCCGTCTATGTGGCAAAGTTATTTGTGCAGTAAACTGGGCTGTGAGTTTATAGCACACCAACTACTCTGCAGCAACTTCCCATCTCAGCCCTTATCAGATCCGGCTGCACCAACCCACTGCTGAGGGCTGGGGTGTAGGTTTTTAATGTGTTCGTTATGCCGTGGATGCTGCCTTTGCCGTACAGCAAATCCAGGATAGCTCCCTCCCTTTGCTTTGGATTTAAATTAAACTTTGCCTTTCCTTAGATACAGAGGGACTCAGTCAGTACACACAACATTTATTAATGCCTGTGCTGCCTTCTGAACTGGTTCAGCGAAATCTTCTCTAAAGCACGTACCTGGTGAAGCTGATGTAGGTGACCTCTGAATCTGCGGCTCTGCGCAGGACTGAGCAAATAGCGTGCTCCGTGTCAGCTGGGCTCCCTGCTTGCTGCAGTACAAAAGTTTAATCTGTTTCACAGATGGGCGAAGAACTTGGCAAAGATGAGTGAATGGGGGAATTAGGTATCTGCACCATGCCTTCTACATTGCATTAACTCGTTCCTCATTGGAAGCGGGAGTGTAAACAAGACCAGACTTTCAGACCTGAGCTCTTTTCCCATTGTAAGATGCTGCTTTTATGTGCATGGCAGTAAAGAAGATCAAATGTGGCTTTGAGTGGTTTTTACATCCTGCAGATAGCTTCATAGCAAAGAAAGGAATTTGGATTTCATGGGCCTCCTTCCCCCTGCTCTCCCAACCGTGCAGGCAGGGAGAAGCTCTGCAGCGTTAGCTACAACTCAGTGTAAGCTGCAGCGATACATGTACACACAAGTCCTCCTCACCTGTGCTCATTGCAAGGGCTCTAACTTTTCACTTGCACATTACAGGCTTCAAACTGCCTCCAAGGTATGAAGAAAACAATAGCCCCGCAGGTGGTTCCTTCTTTAACTTGCCCTCGGTGAAATCTGTTAGACAGTGCGTGGTGGGCTCCAGTCATGCCATTCAGTCCCGTGGCATTCAGCCCCGCTACTATAATAACTGAACAGCGATAATCTTCCTTCCTAAGCAGAGCTGGGGATAATTTCCGATCTAAATCCCTCACCTTTTCAGTTAAACACCAGCAGTCATAGCAACAGACACGCAGATGGGTAAATACTTAAAAAGAATCTAGTTCTTTGATGTAGAGAGCAGCATGATCAGAGTAAGGGAAATGAGTCAGGTCTTAGGAGATCTGTGCATGGCTCTGCTACTAAAGCACTTTGACTTTGTCCTCCGTGGTCCAGCGAGGCCGGAGGCTGTGGCGAAGCTGCCCTGGGGTTTCGCTGCACCGCTCTGTGCCTGGCTTTCTCCAGCCGTAAAAGGGGCATCATCAGCCTGCAGGCACTGCCGTGAGGATCTTGGAGGAGAGATGCTGCTATTTGAGCACAAAATGCAGTGACAACAGCAGCAGGGTGAATTGATATTCGTATTTCTTTCATAATGACTGTGTGGCGAGCTCCTTTGAAAAACAACAATGTTATTCTTCCCACATCTGCCTTCATAGAAGAATCTTAAAGCCGCTTGAAAGCTTTGTCCATAACAAACATATTTATCAGCTAAATATTGATACATTTTGCTTTGAAAATGAGATAAAGGCATGAAGAATATTGCACTCCCATAGTGAGTGCTTTGAAACGTAGGTCTCCTGTTTTCTGTATCGCTCCTTTGGGGAGACGGACTCCGTATCCTCTTCAGCTTTGGAAGGAGCACTCAGGAGCCCGAGCTTCGGTGGCAAGTGTAGTCGCTTCGTGGTGGATCCCGGAGTTAAAGCCCCAGGGTGTCAGGAGCTCTAACCTTACACATCACAACCTGGTTTAAATCAACCAAGCTTTTCCCAGAGTTGAAATAAAAACCCCGGAGAGTGCCTCAGCCTGTGCAGGTTGAATCAAAGGCAGAGGTATCGCTAATCCCTGCTCATAACCCCTCCTCAGATGCTCAGGTCCCTGAAGGATGCGGTGGATGCTGTTCTGCTTACAGTAAGCAACCGAAAGCCCATCCACTTTGTAATCAAATTGTCTGGGAAGCCCGGTGAGCTGCAATGGCCAGAGGGCACTCATGTGAGGGATCATGTGAAGGCTTTAGCTGTCATTTCGAGGCAGGGCTATTAAAAGTCTTGTGTGGGGCCGATGGAGCTGTTAACCCCTCTTGTTACAATCAGAGCTTTGCTAATCGCGTGGTGGGAGAGCCGCTTTGATCTGAGGGGTGGAGGGGAGAGCTGAGGAGCCTTTTCAAGTGCAAATTTCTTATTACACTGTCTCAGTTAACCCAGTTCCTTTTTCTGTCTTGGCTCTGCCAGGCTTTCCATAGTAATTGTGGGAGCAGCTCCCCAGCCCTCTGGCAGCCCGGACCTAACCGGGGGCAGTGGGAAACACTCCTGTGGTCACCCGTCTGTGTTTCCAACTGAGTCACAGGGAACGCGAGACGGGCTGCCGACGACCGCACCGGTCTTTGCACCCTCATCTCTTATTTATACGTTATCACAGGGATTTCGTGCTTGCCAAAAGTGCCTGTTTGACATCCCTGCACGTTTAACTCCCACGAAAACATTCAAGCATCAGGCTGAGCCTCCCCGTAGCATCGCAGTCCTGTTGATTGTGCCCGTCTGTCCGGGAGCAGAGGAAACCTTGAGCTTGCTTGAGGAAAACCACCTTTGTGGAAGGTCCTCGGGGACTATTCGGCGGCAGAGGCTTTTGCTGGTGTCCAGTTATTGCTGGGTTTCTTGGTGTTTTTCCCGGCGTGGAGCACCTGCCCCGTTACGCTCGCCAGAGCCGAGCGATCGCAGCGAAGCGCAGGCAGGTCCCGCACACTCATACCGGGCTCTGACACCAGGCACATCATTTCAAAACTTTCTGACAAAGCACGTTTTTCACAGAAATCAGGGTGGTTTCTTGTTTCTTGTTTGGGTTTGGTTTTTCTTAACAAATCAGGCATTTCTACCAGGGAAGGACAAGGGTGGCGTGTCGCAGGTTTTCAGGCCTTTTTTAAAAGTCAAGCAAAACAAAAAGCACTTAGAAATCTTCTTGCCATGAGAAGACAATGACTGTTGTCGGGCGGCTCAGCCTGGGAGGAGCCCTCAGGGCCCAGAGTGTGTTCCCCCATGCGTGGTAACGCACCCCGAAACCGCCCCAGCTCCCGCCAAAAGGGCGTTATGGCCGGGGCAGAGCCCTCATGTGGCCATGGCTGAGGTGGAGGCCGATGCCAGCCGGGCAGGGCTGAAATAGCGAGGGAGGAAAAACGAGAGCAAGGCCTTGCTGGCCGCTGTGAGGCGAGGAATGGCGCCGAGGGCTCTCGCCATCCCGCCTGTCCCCTTGCCTCCCCCTCGCCGGGTGTGTGTGGCGTTGGCATGAGGCCTGTCCGCTCCCTGGCCGTGAGGGAGACCCTTCGGTGGGTTTAGGACCACCACTGGCCTCGGTGGCCTCCCTGCCCAGGGGACCTGGTGTGAGAGGGGGTCTCCCAAGCGGAGGGGGCTCATCTTCAACCACCCCCGGTGGAGGAGACGCCACGTCTCCCCCTCATGGCCTTCCCCAAAAGCAGCCATTAGTGACTGGGCATGGAGGGGGGCGCAGGGTCGCTCCCGTCCCTCACAGCCCATCATGGCGCCGGGCCTACAGCCCCCCACCCAACATGGCAGCGCTGGGGGAGCGTCCTCCGCCCTCACAGGCAGCAGGGACTCTCCAGTGCCAAGCTCCCCTCACGCCTTCCCCGTCCCACCTCAGCTGGGTTTGG